TTATTGGGTCTCTTTTTAACTTTATATTTAAAAAATACTTTTAGGCACACAGGACAATTGCAAAGGTAGTAGAGAGAGTTCCTCTAATTTCAGCATCTTATATAACTGTGGTACAATTATTGAAAATAGGAAATGAACATTAATACAAAGCCATCACTAATCTGCAGAACTTTATTCAGATTCCATTAATGTCCTTTTTCTGTTCCAGGGTCCAAAACAGGATGACACTGGGTCCTCTCATTGGATGGAGCTAGAAAATACATAAACATATACTCACCCGTGCATGTTTATATGTACATGTATGTATGCATCCACCTATCTACGTACCTACCTTTGTTCCTATCTCTATATATCTGTCTCTTCAAGGAAAATATGATTTTATTCTAATACCTGTGACTCCAATTCAGCACCATGTATTTATTCTGGCATTTTTTTCTTTATTTATTTGTAAACTCTCTGGCTTTTATTGACTACAGTATCTTTATTTACATCCTATTACCTATAATATATTTATTTATTTGTTCCACCCTACTATACGTGCAACATATTTTCAGGATTATTAACTCATATCTTTGTGAAAAACAAATTTACCAAAAACGGTACAGAATTTGTGTACAGTTCTTCTTATCTTTAGTCCCACAGTATCCAGGCAAAACTTTTAGGTCAATCTCTTTTTTTCCCACTCCCTAGAATGTTGTTATGTATATATGTGTAATACAGTCAGATTCATTTGTTATAGTCTGCACGACATCCTGAACACCCAGGACATCTCGTTGATGTTTTTCAAGCAAGCCCCCCAAATCAAGCCCCAACAAGGGGCTTGAACTCATGACCCTGAGATCAAAACCTGAGATGAGATCAAGAGTTGGATGCTTAACTGACTAAATTACTCAGGCACGTCCATCCTGGTTGATTTAATAAACTATTTTCATATAGTAAAATTCACTTCTTGAGATGTTCAGTTCAATGGGATCTGACATGCGTAGAATCATATATCCCACATTATAATTCCTTATAGTTCCTTGATCCCCCCCAAATTCCTTCATGCTGCCCCTCTGTAGTCAGATCCTTCTCTCACCCCCAACCCTTGGGAATTACAGATTGCTTTCTGGCCCTATAGTTTCTCTTTCCTAGTATGTCATGTAAATGGAATAATGGAGTGTGTAACCTTTTGGATTTGGCTTCTTTCTTTCACCCATTAAAGTCAATTTAAGATTCATCCATAATGTTGCATGAATCAATAGCCTGTCCCGTTTTATTGATGAGTAATTTCCTACTGTGTGAATATACCATAGTTTGTTTACCACTATCTGTTGCAGGATACCTGGGTCATTTCCATTTTTGGATGATTATGAGTAAAGTGCTATCCAATTTGTGTACAGGTGGACATAAGTGTTCAGCTCACTTGGATAAATACCTAGGGTCGGGTTGATGGTTAAGCATATACTTAACTTTAAAAGAAACTGCTAAGCTGTTTTTCAAAGTGGTTGTACTATTTTGCATTCTTCCTGGCAACACGCAAAAGTTCCAATTGTTCTGCATGTTTGTCTGCACTTGGTCTTGTCAATCTTTAAATTTTAACTATCCTAATACATGTGTGGTTTGTGGTTTCCTTTGTTTATCTTTCAACCGATCAGAGCTTTATCTTTAAAATGAACACTGGGAGTTATTCTGTATGTTGGTAAATTGAACACCAATAAAAAATAAATTTATTAAAAAATTAAAAAATAAAAATAAATAAAATGAGTTTCTTGGGGCACGAGGGTGGCTCAGTTGGTTGCGCGTTCAACTCTTGATCTCAGCTTCATGGTTGTGAGTTCAGGTCCCATACTGGGCTCCATGCTGGATGTGGAGCCTACTTAAAATAAAATAAATAGTTTCTTGCAGGTATATAGCTGGGTCTTCATTTTTCTTTCAATTTGATGATCTTTTTAATGGGGGTGATTAGTCCATTGATATTTAATTTATTTATTCATATTGTTGGATTTACCTCTACAGTTCTCCTATGCTCTGTTTGTCTTATCTGCTCTTTGTTTCATTTTTCTTCCTTTCCTTTTCTTCTTCTTTTTTTGATTGACTAGTTTTTATATGATTGAGTTTATCTCTGGTATTGGCTGATTAACTATCTCTTTGTTTTATTGTTTGATGTGGGAGCTCAAGCATTTCCAATGTATATCTTTAACTTATGAAAGTTTACCCTTAAACTATATTACACTGCTTCACATAGCATAGAAACTGTATAAACAGGGACGCCTGGGTGGCTCAGCGGTTGAGTGCCTGCCTTTGACTCAGGGCATGATCCTGGAGTCCCAGGATCGAGTCCCACATCAGGCTTCCTGCATGGAGCCTGCTTCTCTCTCTGCCTATGTCTCTGCCTCTCTCTCTGTGTCTCTCATGAAAAAAAAAATGAATAAAACCTTTAAAAAAAAGAAACTGTATAAACATACACTTCTGCTTTCTTCTACTTTCATTTTTGCTGTTGTTTTCATGCTTTTTACTTCTATATGTGCCATAGACCCCACAATGTTTCACCATTACTTTTGCTTTAACCAATTAATTATTTTTTTCACTCTAAAAATTGTGGTAAAATACACACAACATAAAACTTACAATTTTAGCCATTTTAGATGCACAATTCAGTGGCTTAGGTACTGAAGTATTAGGTATTCACAATGTTGTGCAAGCATCATTACTATTTATTTCCAGAATTCTGAATCATCCCAAATAGAAACTCTGTACCCATGAAGTAGCAACTCCTCATTTCCCCATTACCCCAAACCCTGATAATCTCTATTCTATTTTCTGTGTCTATGAATTTAACTACTCTAGATCTCTCATCTAAGTGAAATTATGCAGCCTTTGTCTTTTTGTGTCTGACTTCTTTCACTTAGCAGAATAGGTTTAAGGATCATCCATGATGGAGCATATGTCACGACTTCATTCCTTTGTATGGCTGAGTAATAGTCTGTTTAAGGTATGAACCACATTGTGTTTATCCGTTCATCTGTTGATGGACACCTGGGTTGTTTCCACCTTTTGTCTATGGTGAATAATACTCCTATGAGCCTTGGTCTACAAGTATTGTTGGAGTCTCTGCTTTCAGGATATGTGCCTAGGAGTAGAATTGTTTAACCTTTTGAGAAACTGCCAAACTGTCTCCCACAGCAGCTGGACCATTTTCCATTTCCACCAGCAGGGCTGGAAGGCTGATCTCTCCATATCTTTAACAACATGTATTATTTTCCATTATTTAAAATAATAGCAATCTAGTGGGTGTGAGGTTGTATCTCATTGTGGTTTTGACTTGTATTTCCTGAATGATTAATGATGCTGAGCTTTTTTTCAATGTGTCTATCATCTTCGAAGAAAGCTTATTCAAGTCTCTTGCTCATTTTTGAATTTTTTTTGTTTTTTTTGTTTTTGTTTTCTTGCTGTTGAGTTGTAAGAGCTTACATATTTTTTGAATATTGATTCCTCATCAGTATATGACTTGCAGATATTTTCTCCCATTCTGTGAGTTTTTTTTTTTCATTTTTTTGTGGTGCCCTTTGCTGGACAAAGGTTTTTGATTTCTGTGACATCCAATTTTTTCTACTTTTCTTTTGTTCCCTGTGTTTTTAGTGTCATATTCAAGAAGTCATTGTGAAATCGAAGGTAATGAAAATTTTCTCTTCTGTCTTCCACTAAGAGTTTTATAGTTTTAGCTATTGAATTTAGGTCTTTATCTATTTGAGTTAATTTTTGCATATGGTGTAAGGGTCCAACTTCGTGTTTTGCATGTGGATATCTAGTTTTCCCAGTAGTGTCTGTAGAAAAGACTGTCCTTTCCCCATTGAATGGTCTTGGCAGCATTGCCAAAATCAATAGAGCATATATGTGTCAGGGGTTATTCTCTCCTACTCTATTGGTGTATATGTATATTTATGCCAGCACCACATTGTTTTGGTTCCTGTAGCTTTGCAGTAAGTTTTGAAATTAGGGAATGTGAGGTCTCTGATATTTACCCTCTAATATTGTTTTGAATTTTCAGGGTCCCCTGAAATTCCATATGAATTTTAATATAGATTTTTCTATTTCTGAAAAAAATGCCATTGGGATTTATATACGGATTTCATTGAACCTATGTATTACTCTGGGTAGTATTGTCATCTTAACAAATTAAGTCTTCTAATCCATGAACCAAGTCATATTTTCCTTTCTTTAGATATTTAATTTCTTTTGTAATGTTTTGTATGTTTTGTTTTGTTGTCTTGTTTTTTTGTAAAAGTTACCTCCTTGGTTAAATTTATTCCAAAGCATTTTATTCTTTTTGATGCTATTGCAAATGGGTGGAAAGGTTTTCTTAATTTTCTTTTTAGATTGTTTAATTTTTTTGATTGTTTAATTTTTAGTGTATTAAAAAAACAACAACAGATTTTTGCATGTCAATTTTGTTGAATTGTTTATTAATGTTAATTGTGCGTGTGTGTGTGTGTGTGTGTGTATTCTTTAGGGTTTTCTGCAAATAAGATCATGTCATCTGCAAACAGAGATAATTTTATTTTTTCCTTTCTGATTTGGGCGTCTTTTATTTCTTTTCTTACCTCATCATTCTGGCTAGCCCTTCTAGTAAGTACTACATTGAATAGATGGCAAAAGCAGACATCTGTCTTGTTCTTCATCTTAGGGAAAAAGCTCAGTCTTCATCACTGAGCATGATATTCATTGTGGGTTTTTCATTTATGGCCCTTATCATGTTAGGGAAGCTCCCTTCTACTCTTAGTATATTAAGTGTTTCTGTCTTGAAAGAGTGTTCACATTTGTCGCATGCTTTTTCTGCATCAACTGCGATGATCGTGTGTGCTTTTCTTTCTTCATCTATTAAAACCTAAAATTTTGTATATTTTGTTCAGATTTCCTGTCATTACGGTGGGGGGAAAATAAGTCAGCCCCTGCTACTCTGTCTTGGCCGGAAGCAGAAATTCCTCACATACATTAAAAAAATCTTTTCATGTGTGGCCATAGCCATGGACTCTTTGGACCGAGTCGTAAAGCCCAAAACGAAAAGAGCAAAGAGATTCCTTGAGAAGAGAGAACCAAAACTCAGTGAAAATATTAAAAATGCAATGTTGATTAAAGGGGGAAATGCGAATTCAATGGTGCCACAGTACTTAGAGATGTGTATGCGCTGAAAAAACCGTATGGTGTTCTGTATAAAAAGAAAAACATTACAAGACCATTTGAGGATCAGACATCATTGGAATTCTTTTCAAAGAAGTCAGATTGTTCTTTATTTATGTTTGACTCCCATAATAAGAAGCGGCCAAATAATCTAGTAATAGGTCGTATGTATGATTACCATGTGCTGGATATGATTGAATTAGGTATCGAGAAGTTTGTCTCTCTAAAAGATGTTAAGAATAGTAAATGTCCCGAGGGAATAAAAGCCATGTTAATATTTGCTGGTGATGATTTTGATGTAACAGAAGACTATAGAAGGCTGAAAAATCTTATTGATTTCTTCAGAGGCCCCACAGTATCAAATATCCGTCTGGCTGGTTTAGAGTATGTTCTACACTTCACTGCACTGAATGGGAAAATTTACTTCCGAAGCTATAAGTTGCTGCTGAAGAAATCCGGTTGTAGAACACCAAGGATTGAATTGGAAGAGATGGGGCCCTCGTTGGACCTGGTTCTGAGGAGGACACGTCTGGCTTCAGATGATCTTTATAAATTATCTATGAAAATGCCAAAAGCCCTCAAGCCAAAGAAGAAGAAAAATGTCTCCCATGATACTTTTGGTACAACTTATGGAAGGATTCATATGCAGAAGCAAGACCTAAGCAAACTACAAACCAGGAAAATGAAGGAGTTGAAGAAGCGACCTGCAAAAAGGATAACAGAAGACCAGGAGAAAAAATCAAAGAGAATTAAAAAAAATTGATAGAATTAGCCAAAAAAAAAAAAATCTTTTCATGTTAATACGGATTTAGTTCATTCTTTTAATAGGATTTTAATAGTATCTAATGGTACATTTGATAGTATTCCACTGTATGAACATATCACATTAAATTTAGCTATTTCATTATCATTGGGCTTTTGTGTTGTTTTCTGTTTTTTTACTACGTAATACTTTTCTCTGGGGCAAATATTCAGAAATGGAGCTTCTGGTTTTTGAGTATGTTCGTGTATAGATTTAAAAGATCATGTCAGGGCTGCTTGGGTGGCTCAGTCAGTGAAACTTCTGCCTTTAGCTCAGTCATGGTCCCCGGGTCCTGGGATCAAGCCCCACACCAATAAAATGTAGGACCACTACACCGATGAGGGGATGCTCAATATCACTAATACTAAAGAAAATGAAAATAATAATGAGCTAATCCTTTTTCATCGATCACATTGCCTAAAATTTTCATGGCTAATAATATGAGATTTGGAAAATAATGTGGGAAAGTGGTACTTTTCTACTTTGCAGATGGGAGCGAACATTGGTACACCCAGTTTGAAAAGCAATTTGATATGATCTCTCTCTCTCCCTTTTAAAGGTTTTATTTATTTGAGAAAGAAAGAGAGCATGAGGTGAGAGGAGGGGCAGAGAGGGAGGGACAAGCAGACTCCCTGCTGAGCAGGGAGCTGGTCTCACACAGCTGGCAAGCCCTGGAGGCAGAATTTTTTTTTAATAAATTAATTTTTATTGGTGTTCAATTTACCAACATACAGAATAACACCCAGTGCTCATCCCGTCAAGTGTCCCCCTCAGTGTGGAGGCAGAATTTGAACTTGAGTAGATACAGAGGTACTTAGAGATGGGTGTTCAGTGACTCTGGTCTATTCAGAAGGACAATGGGCCTGGAAGATCCTTGGATCCAGGTTTCTCAACCTTAGTTCCATCCACCTTTTAAACTGGGTAATTCTTTACCGGCCGTGGGGGCCGTCCTGTGCATCGTAGGACGTTCAACAGCTTCTCTGGTTTCAATCCATTTTCTACCAGTAGCACCTTGTCACCACCGCTCCTTGCCCCCTTTGACCCCTGGCTGTGATACTGAAAACTGTCTCTAGGCAAAGCCAAATATTCCCTGAGGGATGAAATTGCTCCCTGTTAAGAGCCACTAATTTAGATAATAATTATTATTAAGTGTCAATATTGATTATTAACCTTCATTAATGCTAATGACATTGATACTGATTACCAACAGTGATTAACTGTAATAGGCATCCTTGCGCTGTTGCTTATTTGTAGCTGATGGATGGAAGGTTCTAGCTTTCCCTTTAGATCACACCTTCTCAGTGTTCTGCTGTCCCACCTGTGAGTCCTCACTTGGCCTGTCCCTCCAGGAGCTCTGCTTCATTCTGAAGATGAGGTGAACTGTGCGAGCACGCCCGTCCACAGTTTTTACGGCAAAGCACAGGAGAACCTTTGGGCAAGGGCAAGGGGGGTCTGGGGCTTGGGGTGGTTCGTGTTTTCTTTTCAAAATGTTTTTCTTCAACACTTTGTCAGTACAAACGGAAAAATAAAGCCCTGCTCATGTAAAATGATTCCTCACTCTACACGAGGTAGGGGTGAGGAGCCTTCATCATTCATGATTCGTGCCAGGCTGTAAACATGCCTGTTGTCACCAGCATCCAGCCCAGCAAGCTCTGGGAATGCAGATCTGCACACAAACGTCAGGCCCCACCAGGGACAGTGGCATCCAGGGCCCTGGAAGATACAAGGTGCTTCCGAATCCCCAAGTGCTGTGCGAGAGCCAGGGTAGCTTAGAACGCTGTCTTTAGCTTGGCCAATTGGGATTCCATATTTTAAAGTCTAAAACTATAATGAAAATGCCCAGGTAACAAATGTCCAAAATCATTTGAGCAGCTACGTTAAGACCTCTAGTTTTTGCTGCTGATAACAGTTGTCTTGCTTCATTCAGGGTGGTCTAGCTCCATGAATCCCCTTGCAAACCTCCCATTTTGGCTCATTTCCCTCTGTTGCTGTGAAGACTTCTGGAGACTGTGATAAGCCCCCGTGTGAAGTCCAGAGCCTTGACATCTGCACTTTCCACCTTGCCTTCCAGGCTGGAGTCCTTGCAGGGAAAGAAGCAAGGTCCTACTGATATGACGCTTCTTGGCCAGCCCATGTAGGGGCTTCAGAATGATCTCGCTTCTTTTTCTAAGCTCATCCCTACTCTGCAACCCCCACTGACACCCTACCCCCATCCCTGCTGTGTCCCCACAGCCTTAAGCCCACCTGCAGCCCTGTGGATGAGGCTTGGGTGACTAACCAAACTGGGAGCTCGTGACGGTGGACCCAGGTTGTCTTCTTCCTCCTCTCTAAATCTCCTTCATTTGGGGGAGGGGGCTCTCTCTACTGTGGGCCAGCAGAAGGCTGGGCTCCGAGAGGGAGATGGTAAAGAATGTTGGCCTGCCAGGGCAAGGGGTGTCCTATGGCTATCACCTCTCTGGGCCCTTGCAGTCAGCTCAGGACAGGGACACAGCAGACTTACAGATGGAGTGGAAGGGGGTGGGGTGCTCAGCCCCTCCTGTTGGGGACATAGAGGCCCACTTTGGGGCTGGGGCTGAGTTGGGCATGATGTCCTGCAATCCTGTGAATATTTAGCTGGTTCTGTCCCCTTTGCCAGCTCCTGCCTATGCAAATAGCCACCAGAGTAGGGGTGGCGGCAGCAGCAGCAGCAACCACAGGGGACCACGGGAGGGAAGAGGGCCAAGGCTCACCCTGAGGACAAGGACGCTGACTGGGGCAGCCACTTCGAGCCCCACCATGGACAGCAGGGTGTGGGGTGCCTGCATCTTCTACTTGCTGAGCCCACTGCCAGTTGTGAGTAGCCAACACAGACCCTCCTGCCTCTCCTGCTGGGCTCCGGATCTGGGAGCCACAAAGCCATAAGGGGGGGCGTCTAGCTGGAGCCTGGTGGGTCCCCAATGCTCTTCCTCAGCACAGGAGTATCTACTAAGCAGGCTACTAGCCATGGCTCAAAGAACTCCTCTCCCCCTCCCCTCCCCTTCCATCCCCTCCCCTCCTCCCTATCTCCCTTCTTCACTTCCCTCCTCCCCTCTCCCTCCTCCGCTCCCTTTCCTTCTGCCCCCTTCCCTTCCCTCCCCATCCCCTTCCCTTCCCTTCCTTTCCCTTCCCTCCTCTCCCCTTCCCTTGCAGCTGCTTGTCTCTAGGTAGCTCAGACTAGGAAAACCTGGCTGAGCTGAGTTAGCCTCCTTGTTGCTTCCCTCCAGGGCCTGCCTGGGCCTTCCAGGGGCCACAGAGACCCTGTATGCCTGAGATATGACTCTGAATCAAGGGGACAGTTAGGGCCTTCCCATCTCATGTCCCTAATTCATCCACAGAATCTCCAGGCCCCTCCCTATCCCTAGTGTCCTGGAGCCACACTCCCGTTGGGTTGCTCACTTTTAAAAGGGTGTGGCCAGGGACCAGGGTCCTGCGCAGTAGATGGAGAACAGCTGCTCCCCTCCCATATTTGGGAGACTGTTCCTCTCTTGATACACCTCAGGCTGGAGAAGCTTTTGGCAAACTTATGTACTGGAGAGTAGGGTGGTGGGAGTGGGGTGCTGGACAGGGGCCCTCCCTGATTGTGCTGCGATTTCCCAGCATGTTTTCTAGGAGTTACTGCAAGTGACACAGGGACCAGGACAGGACATACAAGGTACTGGGTGGGAAGCTCAGCACTCATGGACTGAGGTCTCCTCTTCCCCTGCTGGCTTGTGTGTGAGCGTGAGAGTGTGTGTGTGTGCTCACGCACGAGTGTGCAGGGGCCACCGCACCTCCCAAGCACCCGCCCCCAGGTGCACAGCCCTTGGGCTGGAATCCTGGCACCCTGAAACTAGCTGTGTGGCCTAGGCAAGTTCCCCACCCTTCCTGAGCCTCACTTGTATCTTTTGTTAAAAAGGAGATGATATCTGTTCGCCGGGGCTGTTGTGCATTGAGTAGGGTCTGATTTGTAGGGCTGGGCATAGGGTGCAAAACAGGTCGCTGCTGCTTCTTCTTCTTCTTCTTCTTCTTTTTTTTTTTTTTGGTAATTGAAGTAGCCTGGACACACCTTGTTACGTTAGTTTCAGGTGCACCACATGGGGATTCGACAAGTTTCTATGTTATGCTGTGCTCACCACAAGCGTAGCTGCCATCTGGCACCGTGCGGCACTATTACGAGATCGTTGACTTCATTCCCTGTGCTGTGCCTTATTCATTCCATACCTGGAAGGTTTTGCCCCTCCCCTGCCTTTTTAAATTTTTTGTTGTTGCTGTTGTTATACGGGGAGTCTCTATCCTCTCATCTGGGTGCACCCCACATAACCATGGGTGCTCTCTTTCACGTCCCCTCCCTCCCCCCCCACCTCCTCCCCTCTGCTTCCTTCACATCTCCTTATCTGACTCTGACATTCTCCCTCTTATAAGAACCTCATGTCCGTCCAGATAATCCCGGATAATCTCCCCATCCAAAGATCATTAATTTAATCCCAGCTGCAGAATTTCTTTGGCCGGGCCAGGTAGCGTATATTCGGTTTTCGGTTTTCGGGGATTAGGAGGCACACGTGTTGTCTGAATGAGGGCATTGTTCTGCCTACCAAGGTACTTTGTGCAGAATTGCATCCAGGGAGCAGGGGGGAGGAGAGCGGGGAGAGACGGAGGAAAGGCCCTGCACGGAGAGTTGTTGACTCAGTCCCCTCCAGGAGGTCTTCGGAAGCCTTGTGTTCAATGCATCTCAGAACTTGCTCCCATGAGATGAAACTGGGAAGCATCTGTCCAGACTTCCATCTTCTTTTCCTTCCTCCCTCCTCTCTTCCTCCTCCCCCCACTTCCTCCTTCCCTGCCTTCCTTCTTCTGTTCCATCTCCTCCAAGAGCACTTGAAAGTGCGGAGAGCCAGGCCTTGTGCTTAGGAGCAGGGCTGCGGAAGTGAATCAGGCTTTGTCTCTGTCCTAAGGTCATTTGGACCAGAGAACCCAGAGGGAGCACCCGATTGGCTTGGCTCATCCCATTGCCTTCTTCCTGCAGGTATGGGGTCATGTGCACCCAGAGTGTGACTTCATCACCCAGTTGAGAGAGGATGAGAGGTCATGTCTGCAAGCAGTGGAAGGGATGCCCAACACCACGCTGGGTATGGCGCTTGGGAGGGAGGGGGTGGCTTCTCAGCTCTTCTATCTCCTCCAGGCTCATCACTCTGAATGCTGCATGGCCTGTCCCCTGAGTCTGCTCTGCTCCCATCTCTCTATCTAGGCTGCCCGAGGACATGGGATGGGCTGCTGTGCTGGCCGATGGCAGGCTCTGGCGAGTGGGTCACTCTCTCTTGTCCAGATTTCTTCTCTCACTTCAGCTCAGAGCCAGGTGAGGGTTCCGGGTGTGGGGGCGAGTGGGGAGATGAGGTGGTTTCACCTGGTGGTGTCAGCATATGGCAGGCACATCCCTGGCTTTGGGGGCAGTAGATCTGGATGTGAACACCAACTTCCCATCTTCCTGTGTGACCTTGGGCAAGTGAGCCAACCTCCTGACCCTCAGCTTCCTGACCTGTGACCTGGGGAAACCAAGAACATTAACCTCCCAGGCGGGGAGGATTGGTGAGCAGAGCATAGAGGTGCTGGGCCCAGGGCCAGACCCCAAGCAAATGTTCTGTGGATGTCGGCAGGAGGGCTGGTCTGGGGGTGGCGGGGAGCAGAGCCTGTCTGACTACTCAGATGCCACCACTGCCTAGTTGGGGGAGTGTGGAAAGGCTGGACCTGGAACACAGGCCCCTTGGGGAAAGGCCACCCTTTCTCTGCCATTGAGAAGAGCTGTCTGCAGACCCAGCCAGGGTCACTGGATGATCCACGACTCCCCTTCTGTCCTGGAGAGAGAGAACGAGTTATAACCCGCTCTCTGTTCCCACCTCTGCATGCCTCGCAGGGGCTGTGAAGCGGGATTGCACCATCACGGGCTGGTCTGAGCCCTTCCCACCTTACCCTGTGGCCTGCCCTGTGCCGCTAGAGCTGCTGACTGAGGAGGTAAGAGGCTCCTGGCATCTTGGAGGAAGGGTCGCCGTGGGTGGTTGTAGGGATGGTGGACTGCACAACTGGAGGGGCCGCCATTTCTGCTGTAGCCAGCGGGTGGGAATATTTATTACAGTGGTTTCAGAAGATGGCAGTGTCTGCAAGAGAGACGGCTCTGGTCTTTGGCTAATTGCTCAGGGTGACACGTGGCCACGGTGCTGGGAGAAAGGGGAGGCGGAGGACAGGGTGGGAGATGTGCTGGCTGCCCTCTCCTTGGGTGCCCTCTCTGTGCCCAGGCCTCCGGGGCAGGAGCTTTGAGTGGTTCTGGGGAAACTAAGGCACCTAGTGGTCCTGGGCAGGCTGCCTCCCTCCTCTGGTCCAGGTCCATGGAGTGGTGTGCACACCCCACACGTCCAAATTGAGCAGGGCCTTTGCGAGGTGCTTCCTTACCCCCAACCCCATACCTCTTTCCCCTCAGCCCAGCAGGGGAAGGCATGAGTCTGACCATTTTTCAAATGAAAAGACAGACACGGGTGCTGGTTGCTTGCATCCCCCAGGGGTCCCTGGTCCCCTCCCTTGGCCTGCACCCTCCACCTCTATCTTGGGGTGGGGAGAGGGTGGTGTCCAGGCTTTACTTTGATGGATCCAAACACTTGGTCATAGAAAGACCTTCTCCCTGTGGCTGTCCCTGGCTGCCCCCTTTCTTTGGGGTTAGGGGGAATGTATGTGCCCATGATGGTGAGGAAGTAGGATGTCAATAAACCAGTCCCGTTTCCTCTCGAGCTTTTGTCGTTCCTCGATGAATGACAAAATCTACCAATGAGTGAGTGAAGCTGTAGCTTCTCTGCCGCCCGTCTTGGTCCCACCCCACATAACAGTGAGAGTCAACATGTCACTCCCTGCTGCCCCCCCCCCCCCACTGCCCACCAGCAGGTCAGGTGCAAGACAGGCTGTAAAGATCCCTGTTACGAGGGATCTTGCCACGGGCACCCTGCCCCCAGATGGGGGGTTCTAGAACCAAGAGCCTTCACCTGCATGGTCCTCAAGCCCCTCCTTCCCAGAAAGTGCAGCTGCTGAGACTTTCTCCATCTCTACTCTCCCAGAAATCCTACTTCTCCACCGTGAAGATCATCTACACCCTGGGCCATAGCATCTCCATCGTGGCCCTCTTCGTGGCCATTGCCATCCTGGTTGCTCTCAGGTTTGCTGTCCTCTTGGCCTGCTCCAGAACCTTCGCTGCCTCCCTGTGGTCCTCGGGGCCAAGCCTGAGTCCTTGCCTGGACACTCAGGAGGTTGCTGGATCTAGGCCCCGCAGCCCTTCCTGGCTTTCCCTTCCGTTCCCCGGTGTGTTCCCTTTCCAGCCCTCGCACTCCAGGACTCACCGCAGTCTCGACACCTCTGCTCACGTGGAACTTCCTCTGTTTGCTTGGAATGCCCACTTCCTGTGTTCTTGATGTGTGTCCATCTGTCAAACTTCAAAGCCCAGCTCCCACCTGCTTTAAGAATCCTTTTGGCAGGGATCCCTGGGTGGCGCAGCGGTTTGGCGCCTGCCTTTGGTCCAGGGTGCGATCCTGGAGACCCGGGATCGAATCCCACGTCGGGCTCCCGGTGCATGGAGCCTGCTTCTCCCTCTGCCTATGTCTCTGCCTCTCTCTCTCTCTCTATGACTATCATAAATAAATTAAAAAAAATTAAAAAAAAATCCTTTTGGCCTCCCGCATGGAGCCTTTCTTGACTGCTCCAACCCTTTGACCATTGCCTCCCTTGAGTACCCCCCCCAACTTTAGAGTCTGATCCCCCCCAGCATGGCTAATGCCATTCTCTGTCTCCTGGGGATGTGCCTCATCTCTCTGAGCACCCAGGGGGCTCCCCTGCCCAGTACCCTGCCACCTATGCCTCTGTACCCCAGGCTCTGAGCTCCCCAAAGGCAAGGACCGGTCCCCTCCGTCCTCTCACCTCTGCTGAGCCTCGGGGCGGTGGTTGGCTGTCCTGCATGGCTAACCCTGAAGCTCCAAGTCCAGCCTGGTCTGACTCGAGTCAGTTCAGTTGTGCTCCTCCTGTGCTCCCCCTCATGCCTCCCTGCTCTTCCAGGAGGCTCCACTGTCCCCGGAACTACATCCACACCCAGCTGTTTGTGACCTTCATCCTCAAGGCGGGAGCTGTGTTCCTGAAGGACGCTGCCCTCTTCCACGGGGAGAACACAGACCACTGCAGCTTCTCCACTGTAACAGCTGTGGCTGGAGGGGCCCGGGTGGGTGGGGGGAAGGAAGGCAGCGTTAGGGACCTAGAGGAGCCCCCCGACTGTGGGCTGATACCCTAAGGCTCTGTGATTGCCAATTACAGAATAGGAAACACCCTCTCCTTTCCCTTCCCTTCCCTTCCCTTCCCTTCCCTTCCCTTCCCTTCCCTTCCCTTCCCTTCCCATCCCTCCCCAGAATCAGATCCTAAATCCCCATGGCATTTCTTAGACCCTGGAGCCGATCCATATCCTTTCCCATATTCCGCGTCCCCCCTTCCATTCCTTATTGCATACTCCAACCTAGCCCATGCCTCACCCCAGCGGCCTTTGCATTTTGTACCTCCCCCCGAACACCCCTGCCTGTCTGTGGCCAGGTGCGGGTATGTGCCGGGCAAGGTGCCCCTGGGTCCCTCCCCCCAGAAGCATCCACAGGGCCTAGGGGACAGAATGCACCAGCTAATGGGACAACTGAGTGGGGGATGGGTGTTGAGAGCTGGGCTTCAGGGAGGAGACAGCTTGGGGCTGGGAGGGGGGCAGAGGGGAGAGGGCACGTTAGATGGAGGGACCAGGTGAACAGGGTCTCACAGACAGGAAAACGTGAAGCATGTCCAAGAACCGGGGAAGTCACACGGGGGGCAGGGAGCCGAGGTGGGAGAAGCAGAGGGAATGAACGTAACAGGCAGTGGGGGCCAGCGTGGAGGCAAAGCCGGGCTAGCAGTAGCCAGACACACAGACAGACAAACCAACAGTGACCTTAGTGAACGAATGAAAGAAATGGTAATGGTAGGTGTACTGAGCACCGCTGTGGAGGCGTTGCGCTAAATGCTTTGCATGCATTCCCCCCTTTTAGTTCCTCCATATAGTTTTGTTTTAGTCCCGTTTGTACGGGAGCGGGCCTGGGGCCAAGCTCGGGCCACCTGGGCTCCGAGGCAGTGCTCCTCACCCCTGATGGATGAGCGAGTCCTGCGGTGAATGAGCGAGTGTTTGCTCGTGTGTTTGCAGCGATGGACGGTGCTCCACACCCACAGCTCTGGGGATGGACGTGGGGTCAGGAAGGACCGGAGGAAAGTGAAAAATAGCAATTCCCACGCAGGGTTTCCATCTGGTCCTCAGGACAAGGCCACGGGATAGGCAGCGGAAGTATTTCCCTTTACAGATGAAAAGCTGAGGCAGGGGGAGGTTACCCAGCGAATTCATTGGTAAACGTGAACCCAGGTCCCAAATCTGCGCTCTCAGCCTCCACATTATCCTACCACATCCCCTCTGGGGCAGCCCAAGGTGGAGGTGGAGGGGCCTGTGTGGGGGAGGGGCTCCAGGGGGTGTCCAGCCCTGAAGAACCCAGACCCCCGGCCCACAGGTTCTCTGCAAAGTCTCTGTGGCCACCTCCCATTTCGCCACCATGACCAACTTCAGCTGGCTGTTGGTGGAAGCTGTGTACCTGACCTGCCTCTTGGCCTCCAAGTCGCCCAGCACAAGGAGAGCCTTCTGGCGGCTGGTTCTTGCTGGCTGGGGTGAGCTCTAAGGTCGGTTAGGGCAGCAAGGGGCTAGTGGAGGGCGGGGAATTCGCAGGGAGCTCACCCAAAGGTCCTTTCAGCTCACTTGATGGTGACCCGAGGGACAACCTGTAGTCCTACAGCTCCCTGGTCCCCCCTTCCCGGTGCCCTGTGAGGCTGGCAGTGGAGGTGGCAGGTGGGCGCAAGTCCCTGAGCCGAGACACCCCTTACTCGTGTCTCCTCTGTACCCCCACAGGGCTTCCCCTGCTCTTCACTGGCATGTGGGTGTGCTGCAAGGTGGCCTTTGAGGATGTTGCGTGAGTCTGGGTGGCCACCTCATCACAGGGCGCTGGGTCCCCCTGGGGTGTGGGCTGAATGGTCAGGCAGCGTGGCTGTTCTCTACACTGGGGAGAGGAGCAGGAGACCCCAGTCCTGCCTTCAGGGAACTCCCAGGGCCTGGGCGCAAGATGGGAAGGCCGTTGTGGGTACCGTGCAAGGGCATGACCTGGGGCAGGAGGGGACCTCAGATTCTCAGGGTGTTGGGCTCAAAGAGAGGTGGGAGCTGGGGACAGGGTAAATAGGGGCTTCCTGGAACAGGGAAAGTTTTGGGGCCAGCAAGAAGCAGCCAGGTGGAGAGAGGAGGGAGATGTAAGCCCAGCATGGATTGATCCCTTTGGAAGGGAGCCTACCTGGCTGAGAGAGGAGAGAAGGCTGGGAGGGCATTTTTGGTGCTCCCCTCAGTCCTGGCCTGTCCTCTCTCTAGGTGCTGGGACCTGGATGACAGCTCCCCTTACTGGTGGATCATCAAAGGGCCCATCGTCCTCTCTGTTGGGGTCAGTCTCTGGCGCCTCTGCTTTATTCTCCTTGGATCTGCCGAGGGGGCTGTACCGCAGGAAAGGTGACTCCAGGCTGGGGGAGAGGGTACCTGGGTCCTGCAGCCAGGCTCTGCGAGATTCTCCGCGGACCTCAGTGTGGCATCGGTGAAACTAGGAGGTGGTCTCCACCATCACTCAGGCTCTTTCTAGCTCTGGGTTGGGATGAATTTGGCGCCCTGGCTGTAGAGCATCTCCTCCTGCAGCGGGGCTGCGGTGCAGAAGAGGAAGGTGGGCTGTGGCTGAACCGCCCCCCCCCCCCCCGCTCCCATGCTGAAAACGGGGCAACGGGACTGGTTTACGTGGCCTCGGTGAATGTGTGCATCTCCCCCAGTTTTATCAAAAGTGAGGGACACCTGCTTTGTGTCAGAGAAGATAGACCCTGGGAGGTGCTAGAGGTAGGATGACAAGGCCTGGCCCCCCACCCTTTATCCTGGAGCTGCAGAGGGACCCTGCACTCCATGTGGGACCTCCCAGTCTCCAGGACACAAGTTCTAGAGCAATGACCTGTACATCTATCTGCCTGTACATCCCTGTGTCTCAAGGATTTAGGGTTTGTAATTCCCAAAGAGGCCCCGTCCCAGGCTACCAGGGCCACTCCTGATTCTTGCCTTTTACCTTCCTGCACCTCTATTTCCAGGTGAACTTTGGGCTTTTTCTCAATATTATCCGCATCCTGCTGAGGAAACTGGAGCCGGCTCAGGGCAGCCTCCACACCGAGCCTCAGTACTGGTAATGTGTGTGCACACGCGTGTGCATTCGGGGATGCTGGGAGCATGACTGGACTGGGAGTCAGTATGGTTCTGTTTTATTCACTTTCTTGGTCCATGCTCCTCCCTAAGCTTCTAGAGAGATGATAGATCTGGTCCCTGCCCTCTAGGAGATCACCATGTGTGTGGGGGGGAGGGATGGAGGCTCCAAATATCCAGTTCCCAGGACAAATGGACTGATGAGTGCTGGGGTCCATTTCTATGGGAAGGATCCTGTGGAAGGAGAACTTTCTAGATGGGGGTGAGGTGGGGGTGAGGTAAGGTTAGGGAAGACTTCCTGGAGGAGGTGGTCTTTGAACTAGACTTCGATGCATAGACATCGACTGGAATAAATTGAGACAAGAACATTTGGCAGCGAGAACAGCAAGACCCATGGTCCCCAAAGTAAGGAAGCCCTGCATTGTACCACACTGCGTGTTTGGGGGGGATGGAGTTCTCCAGGGTGCCTGGTGCACAGAGTCTGTATGGAGAACAGATGGGAATTGGGAGTGAGCAGGGGGCATGTGGGAGTTACTAATTCCAGCCTTGGGTGCCTAGGGCTTGTCTTCTCCTGCAGGCGTCTCTCTAAATCAACACTTCTTCTCATCCCGCTGTTTGGAATTCACTATGTCATCTTCAACTTTCTGCCCGACAGTGCTGGCCTGGGCATCCGCCTCCCCCTGGAATTGGGCCTGGGCTCTTTCCAGGTGAGGGGCCCCACAGGGACCCTTCCCACCAAGTCCTTGGGCAAGAGGGAGGCGGTGCAGCCCACAGGTTTGGTTGAGTTCACTGTAGGTTAAGGGTTACCAGGCTGGTTATCCTTTTTTTTTATCCACCTATCTCTATTCATTCAACTTCCCCCGAACCGGCCTACTTGTCCATTTACCCATCCATCTACCCATCATCCATCCATCAATCCATCTACCTACCTACTTACCCATGCATTTATCATCCAGTTATCTGTCTATCCAGCCATTCATCTATCCAACGTTTACTGAGCACCTATTATGTACCAGGATCTGTGCTCAATGCTGGGGGACGGATGCAGAAATAAAGAAAATCAGAGAAACAAGATCAACAGTACAGCCTTGGCAGGCTTGCTATGAGGATTACGTGAGACAGTGTGCCTGGTGCATAGTAAGAGATGAATGCACCTCCTTCTTTTTCCACAAATACCTGCCCAGGCCACAGCCTGGGGGCGGGTGGAGAAAAAGGCGGTAGCAGGTTGTAGGTAGTAAGGGGTAGATGAGTAGTAGGTAGTGGGTAGTGGAAGAAAAGATAGGTCAAGACTGTGGACATCTTGTGGCCAGGCCATAGGATCCTGATGTGTTCCTTTCTCTTTGGCCCCACAGGGCTTCATCGTTGCCATCCTGTATTGCTTCCTCAACCAAGAGGTAGGTAACTCTGCAGGATATCCTTAGCCATTGAGTCTTACCTCCCACCAGATCTAAGGCCACTTCTCTTCTTCCCAGACCCTGTAAATCCCAGCTCAAGCCAAACCTTGACTCCTGTGATCCTTTGGGAAGCTAGCTATGTCTGTCCTGAGCCTCTAGATCAAGCTGAGCCTGATTGCTTCCTATAAACGTCCTTTATCCATCCCTCCTCTAGCCTGGACCAAATATACTCTCCATTCAGGACTGGGGATGGTCTAAAAGGATCCCCCAATTCTATGTTCCTAAAATTGAACGAAAGGGAGAGTGGATGAGGGAATAAGCCAGCTCTGGGAGAGGCAGAGGAACTGAAAAAGTCAGCAGCAGACAGAAAGGGAACTAGGAAAATAGAGTCAGGTGCAGCAGGAGGGAGGACGATGGGGAAGAGCCAGGGATACTGAGAGAAAGCACCTGAAGAGAGGGACCACTCATGGAGGAGGGCACACTCATGCCTAGACACATAGTGACGACAGACTTGTAGAAATGTGGAAAGATGGCAGAGGGAGGAAAAGTAAAATGTCCCACCCAGAAGGCAGCTTGCATCCGTCCCTTAGGATACACTTGCTTTGTGGGAGAATTTAGCTCCTGCCCTAGACAGCCAGGCCCTGCTGCCGTGAGCACCGGCACGGCTCCCTCTGGCGGCCTGGACTGGCCGTGGGCTCGGAGCTGCCCTGAGGCCTGGGTGCACACGCCATCCGCCAGCTGGGGGACCCCGCTGGCTCCTCCCCTGCCACCTCTGTCCCTGACTGCCTCCCGCCCCCTCTGCCTCTGTACTCCCACACCAGCCTTATTGGGTGTCTGGCTGCAGACACAGGACTGCAGTGTCTGTTTGTAGTGGCTCTTGGGTCCTGCGGACGTCGACAGGGGTGGGGGACAGCCTCGGCTGAGGCCGGTGGGACCTGGGAAAGACGCTTCCATGAGAGCTGGGAGGGGATCTGTCCCTGGAAATCACGCTGGAGACCAGATGGTGACATACCTCTGGTGATGGGGAGCTTACTACTCACAGAACAGCTCTTCTGTTGTTAGGCCCCTGTGGGGAAGCTCACCCTTACACTGAATAGAAATCTGTCTCCCTCTGTCTTTCACTGCAGTCCTAGTTCAGCTCTGTCGGGTGGTCACAGCCTCTCAGCAACCTGTGACCCCAACAGCCCTTTGAAGGGGCTGAATTCAGATTCCCCGGTCCTCACCCCTGCCTCCCTGTACCCAGCCGCTTTTCTTTCAGGAATCCTGGCTCCTCACCTGCAGCTCCTTAGATAGGGGTCTGTGTTTTCTCCCTTTGGGGCATCGCCCCTGGACAGGTTCCCAGTGGCTATAGCTCAGTTCAGCGGACAGGGCAGGACTGAATCCCAGAGCAGGGGCCAGGCTAAGATGCTCAGGGAGGCCAGAAATTGAAGAAAGCATCCAAGGGAATGTTTTTAACGGGACCCACCCAAAGGCCCTCCTAGAAGTTAGAGAGCAGAGCTAAAGGGAATGGTCAGAAATACCCACAGGAGGGAGGAAGTAGTATCACGCAGAGATATACTCGGTACTGGCTGCGGCCCATCTCCTCCCCAGGAGCCCAGGCCTCCCTTCCTCCTGCAGGGTCTCTCCCTATACCCCCAGCCCCACCACGGTGGAGCACGGGAGGAGCCGCAGCCCTCCCTGACATCCTCTCCCTTGTCCCCCGAGGTGAGGACTGAGATCTCACGGAGGTGGCACGGCCACAACCCTGAGCTGCTGCCAGCCCGGAGGGCCCTCACCAAGTGGACGGTGCCTTCCCGCTCCGGGGTGAAGGTGTTGACATCTGTGTGCTAGGCTGGCCACGCCCGAGCTTGGACAGCTACCCTGTCGGAGCAAGAGGGACCCGTGCCCCGCGGAGCCCGCAGGCCATGCCTCCGCCCCACCTGCCGCCCCACCTGCCGCCCGGTCCGGCAGGTGCAGCGCTTTCCCCCCCGCCCTACACCCGACCCTGGGTCGCTGCGGGTGGAACGCCTGGGTTCCTCGGGCTCTGTTCTCTTGTCCCTCCTCCCTGGGCCCCAGGCCACGGCCAGAGGAGCCAATAAACTTGTAAGTGAATAGATAACGAACTTGAGTGGAGACAGAGGGACCCTCGGCCTTCATCACCCCTCTCTCGTGTTTGGTCCCCAATTCGAGTCTGCGCAAGAATCCTCCTGTTTAATTTATTCTTTTTTTTTTTTGTTTAATTTATTCTTAAAACTTATTCTCTCTTGTCTCTATCTCCACTCCCATCCCTCTTCTCCCGCAGGCAAGCATCCCGACGTGTGTAATGTGAATATTTGTGTTTCTGTGTGTTCTTGCAAAATATGTACTATTTTGTGTGTGTGTGTGTGTGTGTGTCTGTACTTCTGATTTACATAAATTTTGTCGGTTATGTGCTTCATCCCGCTTCTAACATGTTCCCCTCAGCACTCTGCTTTTAAGACATCTACCCTTGTTGCCGTGTGCTCATCTGGTCTCTTGTTGTGACTGCCATATGGTGCTACATGGTGTCATCGCCCACATATGACCCGTCCTGTCTCCCCCTCGCCCCTGCAGATAAATATTCACACGCTTGTCCCCTTGTGCACCTGTACAAGTGAGCCTTTCTCTGGGACACGTACCCAGGAGCGAAAGTGCCAGGTCATCACTTATGCCTTTTCTGATGTGATGAAGTACTGCCAGATTGCGCTCCAGAATGCTTGCAAAATCTACACTCCCACCGGCAGCTCCACCAACACTTGGCATTACCCAGCTTTTTAATGTTTGCAAGTCAAATGGGTGTAAAGCAACATCTCATTGTTGTTTCAATTTGCATTTCTCTGATAACTAATGAGTGTGAGCATCTCTTTCAGTGCCTGTTAGCCTTTTGGGTTTGTTCTTCTGGAAATTGCTTGGGTCCCTTTCCTTGTTTTTCTCTGGCGTGGAGATTTCTCAATTCTAGGTCTTTCCCTTGTGGTCTGTCTGTTGTGTGCCTTCCTGTGTCCATAGCCTGCTGCCTGCTGTTCCCCTGCTCAAGTGAGGGCCCCTGATGTAATGCATCATCAGAGTCAGTCAGTCCTTCCCCACCCCATTGCTTGGCGGGAGAGAGGAGAATGAGAAGTGGGTGCTGTCCTAGGGAATGTGTTTGTAGACTGATGGGAGATTTGAGTAGAGCAAACAGGCAGAAATGGACCTGGCAGGTCAGGATGAAATTGCTCCCGTTCTTGGCAGCCCACTGCAGGTCTGTTGTGTAAAACTCGGCTCCATTCCCTGGCCTCCAGGAAGCCTTCCAGTCTTCCCTGCCATTCTTGCTCTGATGCAGGCACTCCTCCCTCACAGTCATGAGGGTTCCAGTGAAAGGACACTCAGCCAGATGAAACCCAAGGTCACATTGCTGGCCATGACGCCTAACTACCCGACACCTTCTTGGTCAGACAAATGTCACGGTGTGACTCCAGCCTATGAAAACCCTACTGTGCATTCCTTCCTTTAGTCTCAGATCATAAAAGTAATTCATATTCATTGCAGGGTGTTCAGAGATATAGACAGGATTAAAAAAGGAAATGAAAATCAGCCATAATCTCATTACCCAAAGATAGTCAGTCACTGTTGATATTTTGGTATGTTTCCTGAAAGATTTTTTTTCCTCTGCATTTCTGAACCATCTTGAGATCATACTGTATTTATAAATTTGTATTTCTTATACTTAAAATGAGCACACACCCTATACAAATGGCCAATAGGCACATAAAAAATGCCGACTGTCATTAGTCTTCGGGAAACTGCAAATCAAAACCACAATGAGCTTGTTTCCCACCCAGTAGGACCACTGAAATGAAAAAAAATGGGCAACAAGCATTGGCCAGGTTGTGGTGAAATTGGAATTCTTCTACCTTGCCGGTGGGAGTGTAATATGGTACAGTTGCTTTGTCAAAAAGGCTGATGATTCCTCAGAAAGTCCAATGTTGAGTTGCCATACAACCCAGCAAATCCACCCCATAGCACATAGGCAAGAAAATGGAAAACCTACGTCCATACAAAAACTGGCATATGAGTCCTCATAGCAGCGGTATGCCTCCCTGCCAACAGATGGAAACCATGTCCATCAACTGGTGAATAAAGAATCGAAATGATGTATATCCATACAATGGAATATTGTTCTGTAATAAAAAGGAATGAGGGACTGACATGTGCTACGTCGATGAACCCTAAGACATTGTGCTCAGTGAAAGAAGCCAGGCACAAAGACCACATGTGGTAGGCTTCCATATGTGTGAAATGTCCAGAATAGGCAACTCTGTAGAGACAGAAAAGGTTCTAGGTTGTCAGGGGCTTGGGGAGGGTAAAAAGGGGATTGCTGGTGGCTATGGGGTTTCTTCCGAGGTGACGGAGTGTTCCAGAACTTGCTAGTGGTGACGGTTTCACCCTCTGTGACTGGAACCGCTGAATTGTGCAGTTGCAAAGGGTGGCATTTATGACATGTGAATTATTATCTCTCGATGATTGCTACACAACACCTGTAAGACTTTTTTTGGCCACATAATTTGGGAGGCCTGTCCGATATTCTCTGTTGAGCCGATAATTGCCTGACAAATCTTCTGTGGGGGCAAGTTGCTCCCCATTTTGAAAAATCAATAGTTGTGATGGCAAACTTCCTTGCAGACAAGGTTTCATGCACATCTCAAAAAGAGAAGAAGCTTCAGAACAAACTCCTGGACCTAGAATGTTCGACCCAATGCAATGCAGATGAGGAGTCGTTTGAGTCCTATTGGCAGTCGTCTCGCAGAACAGCTGGACCGGTGCATTGTGGCGCAGGCGGAGTGTAGGGTCGGTCTCTCGGCCTCATTATATCATCCACAGCTTGGTCAGCCCGAGAGTCAGGTGGGGTCTCTCGGAGTTTTGAGGGTGTTAGCAGTTAGTGTTAGCAGTTGGTTCATGGCTGGCGTGAGTGGTTAGTTAGTGGTGTCAGTCTTCAGTTAGCAGTTACTTTGGGGGTGGTAGCCGTGGTGGTGTGGAAGCTCCTCTGAATTGTCTGTCCCTTTGCTGGAGGCCTCATTCATGGCTGGAAGTCTACGCCTTGCTCCCAGTTTCAACAGGAACCTCAAACCCCTGCCACTTTTTCTAGTCTCTTCCACCAAGGGACCTGGACTGGGACCACTGTGATGATTCCTGGACTGGCAAAGTCTTCTCTTCTCGGGGCTCAGCATGCACATCTGCAGGGGGATGGAAGGAGTCAGGGGGCGACCTCCGAGGGCCCAGAAGGGACAGGGAAGGAGGGCGGTGGAGAAGAGCAATGCTCAACGCGGCCACCAGGTGGCAAAATAACTGCGGCCAAGTGCCCGGGTGGCACAGCCTTGGTGCCCGGCTGGGACCTCGGGAGCAGGGCGCGGGACCCTGGGCCTGGGGCACCCTGAGCCTGTGGCGCTGCTGGAAGAAGTGGCTTCCAGTGTGCAGAGGACAGCTCCGGTTTTGCTTTTTGTTTTTCTTAAAAGACTATTTATTGATGAGAGACCCAGAGAAAGAGAGAGGCAGAGACACAGGCAGAGGGAGAAGCAGGCTCCCTGCAGGGTACCCGATGCGGGACTCCATCCAGGGGGCCCAGGCGTCCCAGGATGGCTCCAGTTTTGAGGTGGGCCAAGCTGGGGAGAGGAGGGAGTGCTGGAGAGACAGGAGAACTGGTGTTTGTTGGAGTCTCTGTGCAGAGATCAGAGCAGAAGGGGGTTGCCCTGGGCCCCTGGTTTTGTGCAGGGTGGGAGGGCAGGATTTGCCATTTCCCACACTGCTCTTCCTTCCAGAAGGCTGCTCCTCAGACCCTAAAGGGAAGGAAGAAATTGGGAGACGCCTCTCCTCCTGTGGTCAGCCCGTGCTCCTTTACAGCATAGGGCAGAGGCAAGGATAAAAATGAGGGGCCCATTCGCTGCCCCCAGGGAGCCCCCAGGGATGTTGGGGTGAGCCCTAGCCTGGATGTAAGAACAGGCATGTGAGACTCAGAGTCTCTGGGCTGTGGGAGCTCAGAGGACAGAGTGTGGGTGAGGGCAGGAGCAGTCAGGGAAGGCTTCCTGGGGGAGGGCACTTGGGTTGGTTGGATAGACCTTGGAAGTCACAAGGCCAAGTGCCACCATCTGCTGGGCAGGAAGCAGGAATGTGGCTGATTTCAGTTCAGGCGGCGATGCTTGGAGGAAGGGTCTGGCAGGACAGGAATGTGGGCATCACTCCCAGGCTTTGTTTTCCCCAGGGTTGTTCACGGGCATTCTTGTTAGGGCTCTGGGCCCTGCTGGGCTGCCTGTTCATTCACTTGCTAAGAATCCCTGAAGCACTTGCTTAGGCAGCAGGCACTTTGTGAGAGCCCAGAAACAGGGGCAAACAGCTCCAGAACGTTCCTACTCAGGAGGCTTCAGGTCAGGCTCAGATATGGCTTTATCCATTCATCTGTCGGTGGACACCGAGGCTCCTTCCACAGTTTGGCTATCGTGGACACTGCTGCTATCAACATTGGGGTGCAGGTGTCTCGGTCCCTCACTGCATCTGTATCTTTGGGGTGAATCCCCAGCAGTGCAATTACTGGGTCATAGGATAGCTCCATTTTTAACTCTTATAAAGAAGATGTGGTCTCTATATACGATGGAATATTCCTCAGCCATTAGAAAGGACAAATACCCACCATTTGCTTCGACGTGGATGGAACTGGAGGGTATTATGCTGAGTGAAGTAAGTCAATCAGAGAAAGACAAACATTATATGGTCTCATTCATATGGGGAATATAAAAATTAGTGAAAGGGATCATAGGGGAAAGGAGAGAAAATGGGTGGGAAATATCAGAGAGGGAGACAGAACT